TTTTGTTTCCATGTTTTTTTTGTTTTGTTTTGTTTTTTGGAGTGTTTCTAATGCTGTTGAAGTTTAATGCGACAATGGCATTCTAACGAATTTCCCCTTTTTCAACGCAGGAAAAGCCTCAGCTCTAGTTGTTACAGAGACAAGCACAGCACTCACCAAAGGAGATGCCCTCATATTAACCTGCAAAGTCAACAAAGAAACAATAAGTATAAAGTGGAAAAAAGATGGAGACCCAATAACAGAAAGAGCAATTATAAATACCCAATTAGACGAGGGAAAGAGTAAACTGGCTCTTATTAGTGTTGTGGAAGAGGACAGTGGTGAATATTCTTGTGAAGCACGTAACAAGCTAGGAACTGCGGCTCGCTCTGTTGTGACAGTAAATATCAAAGGTAAGTTGTATAAGGAACTACATACAATTTCAGTAATTACCTATGTAAGGTCATTATCATAAAATACACGTTCGCCTTTTATTTTCCTCACTAAAAATTTTCCAGTCTTTTTGAGTCTTCTGGGAACTAGAAATATGAAGGAAATTTGAAAAAACTGTTTCAAAACAAGTATAAAACAGTCGCAGCATGTTATACATATTCTATAATTCTTTCACCAATCTTCTCTTTCTATCTGCCTGTTTTTTGTAAAGCAACACATCTGCGTCTGTTTTTTCAAGGTTGTTCCTGGCTACCCAATGCGAACAATGAACAACGTAACTTGTTGGAACAAAAAAAAAAGGCTCTCTTTCTGGATAGTCGGTGATATTAATTTTTATTCTTAATGCCGACCAGCAAATTACTTTCCTACTAAGCCTCTTTCATTATTATATTTCAGGAAATTCAGAGGCTCCCTCCAGCAGCTCGTCTTCCTCCAGCAGCTCACTGGAGTGGTACTACATTGGGGGAGCTTTGGCTGCTGTCGTTTTTCTAGTGGCGCTCATTTCATACGTTACAAAACGTCGTGAGACAGGTAAAATGTTCCCATACGGAAATAAAATGTCTTCATATGGCAGATTGTGGCTTTTAATACGTCAGTGTTTTGGAGCACGAAGGAGCTATTTTAAGCAGGTCATATTCTGCATTTCCAGCACCGATTTTGAAGGTCCCTCTACAGTCCCGGCAAAGCCCATTACTAATCAAATTACAATTACATGAAACTAATTACCATGATAACCCACCTTGTTCCTTCTCCCGTTGTTTGACAACAGAGTCAAATATAAGTTACACGTGGTTTCTGAGTCGCAAGCTTTAACTTTGTTTATGATGTCATTCTTACTCACAACGAAGCGATTTCTTTCATCTCTTTCCACATATCCTTTGATAATAGCCCCACCTGAAGTGCCACCCAGGCTGCAGTAAGTGAATTGTCTTTTTTTTTTGACGCTCACTCTTTGAACGTGTGGTTATTTCCGAAGTTTCTAACTCT